GAAGCACACAGAGTACTGGACAAAAGTACCTGGCAACAAACACAGTAGAACCTTCATTAGGGAACCGTCCGAGAAAAAAACCGAAGAACTACTTCAATATAGTAGAGATCGGCTCAAAATGATTACAGGGTTACTAACCGATCATTGTCCGCTTGAAGGACATCTGAATAATATGGGGCTGTACAAGGAGACCTCAGCTACAGATTATGCAACGAAGGGATGAAAACAGCTCTACACATCTTATGCGAATGTGAGGCACTGAATCACAGGAGGCAGGCAATATATGGACCTACGAAATTACGTCCAGAAGAATATGACGAACATTCAACACGGAACCTGTACAAACTAGTACAGGAAACGAGACTGGTGTAATGGGTGTCATGAGAAGATGGGAGAATAAACGCAAAAAGCCCAAGAGGCTGCTGTGTTTTCTGGAGACTTGGACTAAATGGACAAGTCAGACAGCTCCGAAGGTACCAAAAAAAAATACATAACCTGTTTAACTAAATAAAGATTTTTTTAAAATAAATTTGAATGTCTGACAGTGATAATTCAGAAAGTGGAAGTGAGTAGTCTCCTGCAAAGAAACTGAATTAAACTACGACACACTATTAAGTCATCAGTAAGTTAGTTATATTCCTTAATTGAAGTGTGCATTAATTTGTGCATTACGCCTGCGTAAATTTGGTCTGTTTCAAGTGTCAATGATTCTCTTACACAAATTTCATCGTCATATTTTTGAATTCATTCATTAATTTAAATTTCATTCTGATGAAAAATATCGCACTAAAACACTTGCTTGAAGAATAAATTTTATAAAGACTGACAAAATTGTATTTCAAAATCAGATGATAGCGAGTAGCACACGAATGTTTCTCTTATTTTTTACTAACAGAAACATCAAAAATTTAAATAATCAATTGATTTTTCAATGATGGTGGAATTTATATTAAAACATTTATTATAGATATTCATAATTTAGAATCTTAAGAATTGTATTGCAATAAGTAGCTAAGATTCTTGAGTTTACTATGTATATTGAAGCCACATGGAAAATTTTCCATTTATATTTCAATTACATATTTTTTATAAATATTTCAGTACCCAACAATCATCACAGGGGTCACGAAATATTATTATTTATGTTTCACATCTGCCAGGCATCCAGTGACGGTTCACAATTTTCTTCTTTAGTCACACAAATATAAAAAATGCCAACCGATTTTCCACCGATTCCTAGTTCATGTGTAGGCTGTTATAACAAATACCTGTCTGATCAACTAGTTCCCTTTCTAGTTCCATGATGGGTATTGAGTTATATCCAAAAACCCTTGTACAATGTTCCTCAGAGGAGAGGAATCAAGTTACAAGGGCATCCTGTCTGAAACCAACATAATTATGTTTCGATTGCAAAATTTGAACCATACAAAGAAAGAGCGAGTAAAAACGTGGAACAATTTGAATAAAAAATTCGAAGCGTTTCATAATATTTCCATAATAGGGGTACTGTTCATAATTCGGGAATAGTAAATAATAACAAACACTTTTTAATGAAAATGGCTTTATCGTTTTTCGAAATATTCCCCTTATCAAAACATGGTTTTTGAACTCTTCAACTACTTCTTCGGCGCTCGTGAATCGTTGACCACGCAGTTTACCTTTGATATTTGGGAACAGGAAGAAGTCATAGGGTGTTGAATCAGGACTGTACTGAGGATAAGTCATCGATTCAAGGTTTCAACCGCTGAAAAATTGACCTGTTTGGGGAGATATGTGTGAGAGCTCGCATTGTCAATGTAGAATGATTCGTCTTCGGCGGTTAGTTTAACGAATTTTTCCGAAGAATTCTGACAAACAAATGGTCGTATACTACCCAGAATTGACACGTTGCTCGAGCGTAACAGTGCCCACATGACCCATTCGGCCGGAAAAACAGACGACCATTTGCTTCGCTGTGCTTCTTCCACGAAAAACTTTTGTTGGATTTAGCTCGTCTTGAAATACCCGCACGGTCGATTGCTATTTTATTTCCTGTGACGGTTCACAATTTTAAAAAATGCCAACCGATTTTCCACCGATTCCTAGTTCATGTGTAGGCTGTTATAACAAATACCTGTCTGATCAACTAGTCCCCTTTCTAGTGCCATGACGGGTATTAAGTCCTATCAAAAAACCCTTGTACAATGTTCCTCAGAGGAGAGGAATCAAGTTACAAGGGCATCCCGGCTGAAATCAACATAATTATATTTCGATTGCAAAATTTGAACCATACAAACAAAGAGAGCGAGTAAAAACGTGGAACAATTTGAATAAAATATTCGAAGCGTTTCATAATAGGGGTACTGTTTATAATTCGGGAATAGTAAATAATAACAAACACTTTATAATGAAAATGGCTTTATTGTTTATCGAAATATTCCCCTTATCAAAACATGGTTTTTGAACTCTTCAACTACTTCTTTGGCGCTCGTGAATCGTTGACGATGGAGTTTACCTTTGATATTTGGGAACAGGAAGAAGTCATAGGGTGTTAAATCAGGAGTGTACTGAGGATGAGTCATCGACTCAAGGTTTCAACCGTTGAAAAATTTACCTGTTTGCGGAGTTGTGTGAGAGCTCGCATTGTCATAATGTAGAATGATTCGTCTTCGGCGGTTAGTTTAACTAATTTTTCCGAAGAATTCTGACAAACAAATGGTCGTGTACTACCCAGAATTGACACGTTGCTCAAGCGTAACAGTGGCCACATGACCCATTCGGCCGAAGAAACAGGCGACCATTTGCTTCGCTGTGCTTCTTCCACGAAAAACTTTTGTTGGATTTAGCTCGTCTTGAAATACCCGCACGGTCGATTGCTATTTTATTTCCGACTTGTACGCATATATACATGATTCGTCACCTGTCACAATGTCATACACGTCTTTTAAAGCATCACGGTCGAACTTTTCTTTCATTTTCCTACACCACTTGACGCGAGCCTTTTTTGAGCGATTGATAAATTATGGTGTATTCAACGAGAACACATTTTTTACAACCAAGTGTTCGTGCAAAATCAATTGTATTGAAGTGGAACTGATGTGCAAGGATGCCTCTATCTCACAATATGGCACATAATAATCTTGCACTATTAGTTCACGAACTGTATCAATGTTTTATGGCACAACAACCGATTTATGACGACATTCACGGAATTCGTCGGCGACCGAACTACGACCACGATTGGATGCACTATACCAGCGATAAACCTACTATGATTTTTGATGATGCTTTATCACTATTCAAATAATTGAGTTCATCGAAACATTCTTGTTGGGATAATCCACGTAGAAAATTGTGAAAAATAATCCAAGAAAAACCTTTTCTTTAAATTCCATTTTCTTAACTCACCTTAGAGGAAACAATTAGCACTTGTATATCAAAACGTTCTTGTGATGCACTGTGTAGTGTACTGAAATATTGTGAGAATACCAGTAATGGAAATCAGAAATAAATGCACGTCTATGAACGTTATGAGATTGTATAACGCTGACTCAGTTCCCTTTGTTGGGGATGAATAAAGATTCATTCGTCATAGAATAGCAAGCGAGAGTGGACGTGAGAAATAAATGAGAGTGTTTGATTTCATAGATTTCACCAGAAGATAGTTAAGAGAATAGGAGGGATCGAACACACTGTTTGGAATCTTTGGTGTACTGATGACTATTACTGGAGTTCAATCCCAACACCAAACCGTTATTTTTAACACCTCGACACGTATTTCAATCATCGAGTGATCATTTTCAAGAGGAAGATTGAACATCTTCTTGAAGATGATTACTTGATTATTGAAACACGTGTTGAGGTGCTAAAAATAACGGTTTGGTGTTGGAATTGAACTCCAGTTGTATCAAAACGTTGTGAGTACGTTCATGGTAAAAAATGTCAAAATTTGTTATGGTGTTGCCACATTTTTACCAATTGACATTAGTGTTACAATTTCCCGAAATATAAATAGTCCCCCTTGTACTACAAAACATCCATTTAATATTTCAGGAAATTTGTTCCACTGACAAGTAGTTTATATCTATTATTCACTTGTTGAGCAGTGTATGAAATGTCAAACGCTGATAAATGCACTCATTGGGCAATTATGGATACGCAGTAGTCCTAGAAAAATAAAACTGTGAGACACAAACATCAAAGGTTCCGACAAGAGTGACACTACTGGTTTTAGCTATACTGTTGTCTGGTATTGAGTCTAAGATACATTCGTAGCTCAGCCTAACAACACTGATGAGACATATGATAGGTAGAGATAGCTCTAGTTTCAAATAGTTGCCTCGCAGTGGAAGCTGCAGACAAACAACAAATCTTAAATCAGTGTTCGATTTCAAAGCCTGACTTTGCAACTTTGTTTATCATTGATTTTCGGGTTTGAGTTTTCTGTCCATCGTATAGGTAGCAGTTGAGTCCAACAATGCATTTACGTTTCAGTTTATTACCACTGATGAGGATATGGCTGGTCGAAACACCGCTGTCTGGTGTTGAATCACGGATTGTTTGTTTAGATGTTCTAATTTTAACTGTGAAATTTACATTTAGGATACATTCATCAGAAATGATTGATTTTCAGGACGCTATGAAAAAAATTGCATCGATTTTTTGACTGAATGCAGCCTGGGTTCAGTGTGTAGAGTCATTGAATATCTGAGAAGACGTGATATAAACGTGAATGTTTCGGACTCGTTTGGTAACAATGGCATATTTTACGCTGTCACAAAGTGTAGAAACGACATGATCCGCATGTTAGTGAATTTTGGAGGAAATTTGGACCAGATAAATGATGAAGGGCTCACCCCCTTGAATTTGGCCATTCTGAGTTATTTATCCAAGAAGTACAACATAAAAAATTGGGAAACTTCTTTTTTGTCTCAAGACAACTTATTACCCAATGAGCAAGTTGATGTTATGAAATGGCATCTCAATGTATCTTTTCTCAGTTTGAATGCTTCAGGAGAGCGAGTTTCGAGTAACTCTAATAGCACCCGGAAAATGAAACCAGCAAAAAAAATTACACTCGAAGACATGTCAGGAGATGTTGACAACAATACGAATGAAGAAACATATTTTTTCGAAGTGACATGTAAATCATCCGAAGAAAGTCCGGAATATGTCAGAAAGAAGTCAGAAGCAATTTCAGGCTGTTCCATAGGTCCTGATGAATTTAAGGACGTTGAATTTCCAGCAATGGAAAGTACAATCAACACTCTTTTAGAATGTGGAGCTAATCCAAATGCGGGGGAAGCGCCTCTTCCGCCACTGATAATGTCAATTTTCAGCGAAAATTCCAATCTCGTAAAAAAACTGTTGGATGCAGATGCAGATATCCATGTTGTGATAACTGGAAATAATTTAACATGCTTTCACATCATTGCTGCATCGAGTTGTACAGAAGAAAATGCAAATATTTGTTCATTACTTTCACAGTATTCGTGCGATCCTAATGCAAAGACAGATAAGGATCACTGGCCTGAACAGAAACTCAGGATTCTGGGTGAGAGTATGTTCTTTTATTTCATTTCTGAATGTCATTTGTATGAAAAACACTTGTTTTACTTTTCGATATGCAATTTCTATCACGGTTGAAGATATTTTATTGAAAGTTTGAAGGAAAATATAACAAAAAGTATATATCTCATTCAAATTAAATGATTGGAACGAGAAAATAACTTTCTAAAAAGAATTTATTTTACAAACTAAAGACGACTGTCTCATACGAGAGCTACAAACAGAATAATAATTATAATAATGTTAACTGGATGCTAACTGCATGTCGAGATAAGGGATTCCTGGAATATCTCCTACTCAGCTGAATCTCCGTGTGAATGGCCGTGTCATGGGAAGTTTGACCACGTAACTTCTCCCTCCTTGAGCCGAAAAAATAATGGAATTATTTTGGCGGCTAGGAACCATATCTTCGTCATTGGTATTTTCTTCTTTTTGGGGTGTTTTGAAGCAACAGCATCCCAATATACGGGTTTTAATCGAATTTTTCTTAAAAGCTGCCAACATCAGGACAATTATTGTGATGGCAACTCCTGCAAAAACGCCAAAAATGGTAGTGTTATTTTCGGAGTTGTTAAATTTGTGGATTGGTTTCAATTGGTCCACTATATTGTTGATTTCGTAGAGTTCTTCAAAATTTAGTTTCGAGAAATTTTGTGTTTCATATATTGTTGACTTCTCGATATTTTTCATTTCAATTTTCGATAAAATCAGTGACTTGCCTGTTCCTATTTTCACGTTGTTGGTGAAAATCTTGTTTCTCATTTCAATTTGGCAATTTTTCGGGATCTTGACTAGGGTGGGCGCTTTTATTTCCAAATATCGATCGGTTTTGCATTTGGAAAACATTCTTTCGCTCTGTATCGGAATTACCAGGATTTCTTCTTGAGTGATTTGTTCGATAATCGACTCTGCCACATTGATTGGAAGAGGCTGACAATTATCGGCGACTTTGCCTTCGATTAGCTGGGATGTGCATTGGTCTTCGGAAAAGTAATCTTCTGGACAATAATACGTTTTCTCTAGTACTGGGCATGGACTATCTTCGAACTGGATATTGTGGTTTGCTCGTGCCTAATATGGGTATTTTGGGATAAAAATACTGTGATTTTGGATGATAGGATAAAGGTGGAAAAATGTAAGAACTTCGTTTCCGTTGTATTGCGAAAATTATTCTGTCATTTGAAAAAGTTACTTGTGCACCGAAAAATTGATAATATGTTAACATACTATCAAATTTCGGGATTTTTGAATCAAAGTAGATGTTGATTAAATAATTTATTATTTCTTTCAGTTCAGAACTAAGTAGTATTGAATTATGTAAGGTATTTAACTTCGCAAATGTGATAGCATCTTCTAAATTATCGATAAAAGTAATGATATTTTGGCAGTCAAGGGTTATTTGTGAAACTATTCCTTGAAAACTAATGTAGTTCGTCAGATCGCTAATGGTTTTTTGAACTGTAACTTGAAATGTTTCCAGACTGTTTTCTAATTCTCCTTGATTTGAATTAAAAATTTGGATAGTTTTATTAAAGTGATTGATTAATTTTTTGGACAGATAGATTTGTATGTTTACCTCATTATTCATATTTTTTTGGTCACGTTCTAATATAGCGATACTTTGGTCGTATCGTTTACCATCATCAGCATCAAGATTTCTTTTTTGTCATTTCAATAAGATACTCGGTTCTGACTATCAGGCTGTATGCTAATCCATGTGCTACTGCCGACCTACGGAACCAAGGAATACAACGCTTTGCGATGCTTGGTTGACCGTTAGCAGCAAAATATTTAATTCTTTCTGAACATACCCTTGCTAAGTGGGGTTCTTTATCGGACAAAAAAAATAAATAAATAAAACGCGAAACGTTATACCAACTATATTAATAGTTTGAGAAGAATTGAAATAAAAAAATAATATTTAATAATAATGATTATCTGTAAGGGCATGACCACATATAATATAGATTTGTTGACAATTCGATTCCTCTATTTATTTTCTCCTTCTTCCCTTCCTTTTTAGTCTAAAATTCTTAATATCTAGAAAGGTAAAATAAAACCGTAACATATGATAGAAAATTGGGTTATTAATTGTTCTCATATCAAAATTATTTTTTATTATTTGGAAGTAGTCGTCTAGTTTGTTTAATTGTTTTTGAATATCGTCACTTTGGATTCGGAGCACGTGAAGTAGAAGGTATAGCGGTATCAATACTTGTATCTTCAAGATCTTTTACTCCCTGTAACAAAAGTTTTTTGAAATTTTTGGTTTTCTGGCTATTGTTTTGGGGTGGATGCCTTTATTTGTTTCAATAATTTCAGTTTTCTTAAATTTCGGTCGATCTTTATTTTGCGCCTTTGTTCTAATATACGCAACTTGTTGATTTGCAAACTTTGGGGGTTCATTTCGTTGGGTATTTCTGTTTTCAATGACTTTTTCTTTAGTAATTTGGTTGGAATTTTGAATAGATTGATAAAGTTTATTGATATTTCCTTTATGTTTTTGAACACAATCGAAACAATTATACGATCATTTAATTCAAATGGGTTTGTGTTATTAATGTGAACTTCAATTACTTCCAAAGGTGTGAATTTGGTAACACTATGTATTGAATTATTATAGCCAAGGACAGCTCTCTTCATCAGCTGTTCAGGTGTGAACGATTTTCCTTCTTCTTAAGCATCGATGATGTTCAATCAGTGTTGAATGAAATCCTTCGACTGGTAAATTAGAATAACTGTTTTTTAAAGTTGTGTATTGCAGCTCAATGTTATGAAAATTACAAAACCTTTCCAGATCTTTATTTTTGATTTCGGTGCCTGAATCGGCGGTAATTTTGAGTGGTAAACCGTGATGGGTAATAAAATTGAGTAGATTTTCGACTACTAAAACACCGGTTAAGGATTTTAATGGATATGCCTGACCATATCGTGAAAATGTGTCGAGAAATGTTGAAGAAGTTTCGTTCGAAATTTTGAATGTATGTAAGGTGAACATGCTCAAATGGCTTTGAAGTTGTAGGTGTTAGGTTGAATTTAATCACAAGAGGATTCCGATCGTATTTGTTTTTCTGACATGTTTCTCAGTTATTAATATAATTTTGTATATCTTCTGACATTTTTGGCCAATAAAATCGTGAAATGAGGGATGTCCTCATTTCATTTAACCTCTATGGCAGGTTTTCTTAATATGATAACATTTAAGTTTCTCTTTCTGGTCGTTCAATGTTTCTACTTCCTTCAAGAATGTTGGACAATCAACAATTTTGAATGAAGAATTCTTGAGTGAATTTTGGATTGTTGTATCGAACAATTGTGAGACTGCTGGGTTTTCAAAATGGAAGGCAAATGTTTGTTTTGGATCAATATATTATTTAAGGAGTTTAACAATATTCTCGCTCTGATTTTTAGAGGGTATGGTAACATAAGACCGCAATTTTCTATTCTACATTTAAGTTTTTCTATGTCACCAATCGCTACAATCATTTGATTTTTATATGTATCAACTGGTTTTTCTGAAATAGGGATTTGAAAGACAGGGTCTTCGAGTGAAGTGTGAACGGTTTGTGAGTCCGATGTTTTTTCGATTTTATTTAATTTTGGGGGAACAATTTGAATGTCAGATAATATGTTAATTTATTTTTTATGTTCTTGCGTTTCCAGGACTTCATTGTATAAGACTGGAATATTATCGTTATTCAAATAGATGTCGATAAGTTTGTTTATATCCCCAGGATTAGTTTGAACTGGAAGTGTTTCGATAGCATTGAAGTCATTTGTACAAGGACTTCTGGAGAGAGCATCCACTACTTGGTTGCATTTTCCTTTTTTATATTTTACAACATAGTCAAATTCCTCTAATTTCAAACGCCATCGCAAAAGTCTTGAATTAGGTTCCTTCGGCGAGAAAAGCCACTGAAGGGGTTTGTGGTCTGAATAAATTGTAAATTTTCTTCCGAAAAGGTACCTATGATCTAAAATATTTACAACTCCATACAATCGAAAGAAGTTCTTTTTCGATAGTTGAGTAATTAATTTCAGGTGGGTCANAAGGAATCTCAACATGATTTCCTATCAGTCGCTTATTTACAAGGTCTATATTCAGGTGCATATTTATCAAGTCTGATAATCCTAAAACTCCGTCAAAGTAATCGTGGAAATCAAATAAAATAAAAGAAATTTCGTAGTTTGTGTTGAACTCTGGAAAAGCAGATATCGAGGCTTGGTACCTTACTTTCTGACTTCCTAAAGCCGTTTTGATAATAGTATTTGAATGATAAATACTGTTTGGAAATAATTTTTCAATAAGTGAGGCTGGCTTTTTGGGATGCATATTATTTCTTAAAATACCAGGACAACCAGCAATAAAAGTACTGAGGGCTACTTTATCACAGTGAGTTGTTTGGTGAAGTTTTTCTTCTGGAGTTAGGTATGGGTTGTTACTGACTCTTTGAACTACATTACTTTTGATTAATTGAATTCTACTACCGAAATTCATTAGATCTTCTCCCCTATGGGGTCGACTTCTAGTTAATTCTTGAACTAAACAGTCCAAATCTCTCATATCCGAAAAACATTGTTTCAGAGCAGATTTTAAGGCATCCCAAGAATTGAGTTCATTTCTGTTACCAACCATATACTCGGCTTTACCTGTCAGTTTTTCTTGAATACATTCAAAAACGTGTTCATTAAGTGAAGCATCATTATTTGTATACGTTTAGTATCTCGCACATCAAATTAAACATATCAAACCAATTGTTGTATTCGACATTCTGTGAAATCTGTAAACTAGGTGTGACAGAATAAAATGTGTTACCTAATTACCTACGTCGCATTATTCAATAGTATACAGTTCTCTAGAAAGTGACCAGCAAGCCCAAAAACCAAAATTGGGACCCAACAATGTATATCTTACATAGAACTCTTCATTTATAGTTTTTTTATATAATTTTCAGTTGTTTGTAATTGGGTGTACAATTGTTGGAAATGAAGTGATCTCAATCTATATTTTTATAATTCACAAATGAGTATTTTGTACAATGTTATCTACACAAGACAAAGTAGAAATCGTTCTTTTATGTGGTGAGA